TGAAAATAACAGAACATTGAAAAAACAACATGAAAAAAACTTTAAAGCAACATGATAAAAACATGAAAATAACTTAAAAGAAAAGAGAAAAAGTACATAAAAGCAAACATCAAAAAGAATAATCAAATCCCAAAAAAATCAGGCTATAAAATTAAAAAATAAAATTAAAATTAGCACAGATCCGAAGCAGGCTTTTAACATATCCTGCAAATGATTAATGGAAAATTATTAAAAATCACACAAAAAATAATATAAACATGCAAAACTAAACTTGAACACTCTGCACGAACCACCGTCGACGGGTAACACAGATCTGAAGCAACCCATCACAGATCTACTAACAGCCGTCGGTGCTCGCCACTCTCTGCCGCTCATGAACCGATACCAAGCGTCAGGCGACTCAGGCCCTTGCTGAACCACGCGATTGGTAATGAACTTCGGTTATAGAAATACAAGGAATTGGGATTGGGTCACTAAACGAAGAATTTTTCTGTTAATTTTGCGATAATTATTTTTAAACATGAGAAATCTGGAAAGAGGAGACGAAGAGAAGAAAAGAAAATAAAGAGAAGAAGAAGAGATATAATTAAAAGATAAAAAAAAAAGAGAAAAAGTAGGAAAAAAGATTGAAGAAAGAGGGAGAAAGTTGTGGGAACGGTTAATGGGATAAAGGGGTATATATGAAAATAAAATGGAGTAAAATTGTATAAATAGTGAATAAGTCTTTTATTATTAAATGTGTAAATAAATAGTCAAGGGACGTCATTAATTCTTGATTCTGTTCTGTTGATGTTATCGGGCTTAGCAACAAATATTTCTTTAGCCCAATAATTAATTAACATATGATATGTATAATTGTAGGAAATTGCATGTGGTAGTGGTACCATGTGATAAAATAAAAACAAATTATAACTAAACTTTTTTTTTTTGGTACATATAACTAAACTTTTTTATATATACTAATAGGTGTTGCTATTTTATTTGAATTTACTTGCCATGTAAAATTTTGTTATTTTGGCTGTTATTTTTAAGAAAGCATATATAACAGAATTGCTCATTGTTTAAAAATGAAGAGAATGGTTAGTAGGAAACTGATATAAAAATACATTTATCATGTCATATACATTGATTGAAGCTTCAAAACATGCTAACACTACATACGTTGAACTATTGAAGCTTAACCTCAAGACAAAATTAGTTGAGAATTTTTCAATCATTTTTCTATTTTTTCTGGTATTTAAATGGGCAGCTGCTACTGCAACAAGGGTGGGTACTAAAACAGTAAAACTTGAGCAACACTCATCACACTTGGGAGTTTATGAATCACCATCAAGTTACATACCCGATATTTTCATCGTCTCAAAATCGCACAGAACATTAGCAAGTCGAAATAGTTACTGCAGAACTTGAGGAACATTCAATTGTCGAATACAAACATCTGTACTCACTACACAATAGAATCTCAAAGCCAATCATCAAAAAACTCCAAAACTCAATAGAAGGCAAGCTTATATTCGTTGGATCCTCGCTCAAATAATGAAATTCTCTGAAGCAATTGGGATTTCGTTTGCAGCTCCATGCATCTAAAAGTTTGAGTAAATATTTCCATGCTCTCCAATACTCGAGAATTCCTCAAAATATATCTTACCATGTCACATTCATGCTCTTTGAACCACATAAATTTAACTGTTATAGTCCGTAGACATGATAACAGACATTTAGGCGCTTGTTTGGGCTCGGTCCACAAAGATCCCATTTTCGAATGAACCTTATGACGATAAGCAGAGCATAACAAAAGGAGTAAAGTACAGGAGTTATTGATGTAAGAAAACTGAGAAAAGGATAACGACAAATTCAATTGCATCAATGATAAACTCCACTTACAGTAAGGACTTGAAGATTATCAGCAACTTCAAGGAACTTTACAAGCAAACTCCATTTGAAGTTCCATTGGAGTTCAAGTTTGGTTAAATTATCAAACTTTACAGTTGAACAAGAAACTCCTCTATGAACAAACTGAAAAATTTTAAACCACATTACACTTATATATAACAACAAAGCCGAAAACTAATTGACACGAGGCCTAAGAGATTGAAAAATCAAAACAACAAAGCCAAAAACTAATTGACACGAGGCCTAAGAGATTGAAGAATCAAAACATACCTCCTCAAATTCCCAGCCTGATATCTTTAGGCACTTTACATAACACAGAGAATTAAGAAACCTCACCAACGTGGAATTGCAACTCATTTTGAGATTTAAGAACGAGTAATCATTTAAGCGGATATCCGCCTCAACCAAGGAGATCTTTGTTATAGGAATTGTTATACCTTGCAAAGCATAGCCATACACTTGGAGATACCTAAGTGTTGGGGCATTTATTATAATCCTATATTCACGCTTCCATGGACAAATCAAACGGACAAGATCGAGCTTAAGCGTCTTTATCGTGGTTGATGATATATTTATGTAGCTCACATAATCATAATAAGATGTGAATACCATGTTCAACACCTCGAGCGACGGACATCTGGAAAGAAAGCGAGGAAGCGCATCATCATTCTCGCATATAAGATTAGAAACATAAAACTTCTTGAGGCTAGGTAGAGAGACATTCTCTAGAGCAGAAAGTGGTGCGCTATTGTTATCAAGCTTCAATTTGACAATGGTTTTGCAGTTGAATAGGGATTGAGGGAATGTATTGAAGTCAAGCTTAAGATAAAGATTCCGAATCCCACGCTCGACGGTTGTCGTAATCCATGTCTCCAGTTGATACTCATTGCATTTGACGCAATCGAGTGTCAAAGTTTCCATTCTTTTTGCCTCGTGCTGCAATAACCATGTGGATAATGTCAGAGGCTTGTGTTCCTTCTTCCTTGAAATCGAATACACTGAAATGCAGAGAGGGTAGAAGGGCCCATAGAAACCTCCATCTTTTTCCGAGAATGCTGATCGCCACCGAGCGCTTAATGGGGAGGAAAGAGAGAATGTGGGATATGACTTCGTCCGACAAGCTGCTCAGCCTATCGATCGAGGCCATGTTTTGCTCTGCATCCGAAAGCGTTGGGCACTTTCCACTTGGTTGTTGTCTGATTTCCTCCATGTAAATTCTGACAACGGGCACCTGATTTTCGCAACAAAAATCCAAGGCAGTAGGATTCATAGGGTACCATGATTCGGATTATTTTTTGATGGTCAGTTTAATTCTAAGTCTAATGTGAAGAAGATGATGAGACAGATCATTTCCATAAAATTTTGTTATCACCATAGATTTTCCCTTGGGCATTTCGACAAACACTTGGCTGGCAAATCATTTCGACAAAACTATGTCTTTTAGAAGGCTTTATTTTCATGCGTGTATACAGATACATAAGAACAAAAACGAAAACGAATAATCAAAAAGCGGCCGGTATAAAACATCGCGGCCTACTTGTGAAGTGTGAACTTTTGCTGCCCTCCTTTCGAAGTGCTTATTTTGGGGTCTCTTTGTTGAACCAATTTAAGGGTGTTTGTTGTATTTATTTGAGACTTTAAATAATATCTTAAGACGTTTTAATTGATGAAAAATTTTAAAATTATTTATTTTATTTTATTTTTTGAATATTTTATGAAACGGTAAATTGCACCAAACTCCCATGTGTTTAACGAAATGTGCGCATTTCCCCACTGTGTTTTAAAAAATGCACCAGACCTCCTTGTGTTTATGTAATTGTTGCACGGTTCCCCCATTCCGTCCAAGTTAACCGCGCGTGTGTGGCACCTTCTCTAGCTGCGAGATTTATTCAATTTTTTTATTTTCAAATTACAAATTTACCATTTTACCCTCTTGAATCTTATTGCAAAAGCCAAAAATTTATAGTGTAGGAAGTGGGACTCCAACCCAAAGTGCCCAAGAGAGAGCATGCCAACAAAGCCACTGGGCTACATGAATGTTGTGTTATCTATTGAACACACATATATTTATAATATAATACAAATAATGATTAATAAAAAAAAAAGAAAATAAATAAATAAAAATCTAATAGGTAAATTAATATAAATTAGGGAGCTTTATTTATTAGGGATAGTCAAAGGGTTTAATTATTTAAAAGGGATAGTGAAAATGTTATTTGTCCAAATGACCCAACCATTAAGTAAAGAGAAATAAATATTTGAAAAACCTAAAATACCCTTATATTTAAAAAAAAAACAAAACTGAACGGTTTTGTT